CCACACAGTAAGAGTCGGTGCTGCTACCAGTGGTAATAAATTACAAGTTCAGAAGCCACAGTAAAAAATATCTACGAAGTTAAATCTTCTTACCTAAGTATATCAAAAGTGCCTAGTCTTTTTTTTTTAACAAGGCAGTGTATTTTTTTAAATGCACTAATATAACACTATTACAGTGATTTATTATGTATTAGAGATAGAGATAGCCAGGTGTAGCACGTTATGGTCTTCAGGCAAGTCAGGGAAGTCCTGGGGAAAGGCTGTTGTTTAAATAGTGATGATTGGAAGCACATGAAGTTACCTTCTGAGGAAATGGAAGGAAGTGACAATATGGGAAGCTTAGGGGGTTGGGGTTCCAGACTGTTCCAGCCACCAGCGAGCATACTTACTTGCACTGAAAAAGATAACATTCACTACAAAATTTCCCAATGCCAATTTGAGTAAATACTTTCCCTTAGCTATTCAGGGCTTAAAACATACCTATTTTGTATTTGTAGGAGGGCAAATCAATGTTGTGGAAAGACAAAGAGTGAAGAAGAATGAAGAAAGTTTTTGGTTGGGAACACCTGCACCTTAACTGAAAAATCAGCCCTTTAACAGCCACATATTCCTCTTCCACAGCACAAATATGGCTTAAGAATGGATGCTAGGGAGGCAACAGGAGAAGAAGGTGGCACCTGGCTGGCCAGCCAGACTCCCCTTATAAATATACACTTATTCTAACAATAAGCCTACGAGTGCGGCAAATGACTGGACAATGGAATGGCTGACCGGAGGAGGGTCACCAAGGGAATGGTCTCTGCTGAGGTGCGGCTCCAACAGAGTCTCAGGTGTGTGTTGTCGACTAAAGAACTCAGGGAGCATTGACCACCTGAGCCAAATAAGCTAATGGCCCCCTGGAATGTTCGCACATACCATCCTCTGGAAAAATCTAGGGCTGAGGGAGGGATGGTAACGTTTACCATTATGAATTACTATGCAGTCAGGCACGTCAAAAATATTTATTGTGACACTATTCATTATAGATGAAGAAAAGATACACCGTCACATAGGGAGTGGCAGGGCTGAGTCACAGCCAGAATGAAGCTGAGTCCCGCTCCCAGCCCTGATGGCAGCAGTGCTCCCGCGTGGGTGGGAAGAAGTCAGGTGGGAAGAAGCACCTGACTTGCACGACTTTAATAAGGGGTTAAAAAGCAGCCTACTCCTGAAAGCACCAAAACCGCACCACAATTTTCTTCCTCTAAAGTACAAATACGCAGTTCCATCATCAGCCCCAAACATTTAAGCAATACAAACTTTCCCCAGGAAACACAGGTCCAGACTTTGCATTTTACACGAACAGGCGGGAGCCGTGCATGTACTTGTTCAGGGGCCACAGGCTGCTCTCGCCCACGTTGGAGGTGCGCCTCTGGCACTGCCGGCAGCGCCGGTAATTCTCACACTGGTCCAGGAGGAAGAGCTTGTCTGAGGCCCTGAGGAGAGGCGAGGAAGAGCAGGCGTGAGCAGGCAGCCCGGGGCCCTTGCCGGGGGGTCTGGTTTCGCAGCCACGGCGGAGCGGGGGGGAGGGTAGAAGAGTAGCCCCTGGTCGCGGCTCTCCGGGAGCTTTCCACCCGCCGGTGACCTCCGCTGCAGCCTCACCCTCTCCAGGCGGCTGCCTGCAGCGCCCCCAGCATGGCATCTCCTGCTTGCAAACCTCCGCTCTCGGTTCTTCCCCAGTAAATAAAAGCCTCTGACTCGGTGCCTTCACGACGGTCGGACCCCAGCTCCCCTCTCAGCCACACCCACCCAAGCCCTCCGAGAGCACACAACTCGCCCACGGCCCCGGCGAACGGGGCGCCCGGCCTCTGTGACTGCTGCCGGGCCCTGTGGGTGCGCCTTTACCTGTCAGGCCCCGGGCCAGCGTCTGAGAGGACGCTCAGGCCGTTAAGCGGCCGGCTAACAGTGACCACCCCAGGGGACGGGTAAGAGCAGACTCGCAAGGAAAAGGCCCAGGCTGGAGGTCTCCGGAGCGCTAAGGGCAGGAGAGGGGGTAGGGGCAAGGGGCAGCTCCCCTAACTGATTTCCCACTGCAACAGCTTTTCTTGATCCTGCATGTCAGTCCCTGGTGTGTTCCTCTCTGCTATCAAAAATTCTACATGGCTGAATTCTGCTCCTTTTTGGAGCACCGAGGACAGTTTTAAAAGGAAAACGAACATACAATCCTGGCCGTGAGTGGGGAAAAGACCCACCCCTTGCCCTGCTGATGGGACTGAGTATCTATCATGTGCTGACTGCATAAATGTGAATTTTATTTCTGCTTTTGCTTTGTTTTCTTTTTAACACCAATTCTTTCTTCCTACTAACTGCCCACAGCTCAGCGTAAGTCTTCAGGTAACAGGTCTGCGCTGGCCTGGAGCAGCTGTGTTACCTGCCACCCTAGGTTATTTCCTGTGTCTCCTCTATCCTCTTCCAACACGTTGGCCAACCATTCCTCCAACCAAAGCCTGCCTGGCATTAATCTCTCTGCCTTTTACCTGCTCTCCCACAACACTCAGAATATGGCTTGAAATCCCCAACTTCACTTCCCCTTCCAATTCTCTAGGCCAAACAACTCCACTCCTCCATTGGAATCTACTTCCCATGTCACCCCTCATACTACTATTGGCATAAAATATGGATTCTACCGTTTAGAAAGACATGTGAGAATTGCCTTAAAAGAAAACCTAAAAGGAAAAGGAATGGTTGATCAAGAAGCACTGCAACAAATTTTATCCATGATAAGAAGTAGTTGATAACTAGCAATTTAAAATACTGTTTTGGTATATTCAGGTTTTCATAATGTGTGTATAGATTGGGTCTGTTTCTTAACATTCTATGAAATCATACTTTACATTTGTAAAGTATTTTAATTTTAAGTGTACTACTTTTCCATCTCTTTATATGATCACAAAAACTCCTATTTGAGCTAAGTCAAGCAACTTTGCTCTCCTCATTTTACAAATAAGAAAAGTAAGACAAAAATATTTGTTTCCTAGGTGCTGGGCTGGTGGCGCACCCCAACTCCATGTGGATGGGTGGAGTAGTTCCTCTACTTGGGACTTTTGGATCTCATCCTGTGTACCTCTTTATCTGGCTGTTTATTTACATCCTTTATAATAAACTGTAATAGAAAAAAAAAGATTTGTTTCCTCTCCAAAGTTAGTGTCAGTTCTCAAACCCATGACTAGATTCCCTGACTCTAGACTGAAAAGAGATATGGAGAGATGAGGCAGGGATATAGTAATACATTTCAGGAAGATGTTCTTGGTCCCAATGAGAATCTCACTTTTTCAATTGCCATTCTTACACATAATGCCTTGAACGTAATCTTAAATGACCATTCTGTAAGCCTTGATGTGTTCAGATGGAAACTCATTCTCCCTACTTCTAGTTAGTTATTGCCAGCAAGAATTCTCACCCTCCTCCTGCACACTTCTCCAGGCCCCAGCGAAAGAAACCAAACTGCCCTATGCAGAGGCAAAGATTTGAGCTGAGATGACAAATTCGTAACATACAACTGGAGTTGGCACTTGAAACCTATCTGCCATCCCTGGGTTAGAGGAAAGGGAACAAGGAGCAGAGGTGGTTTTCTTTGCAAAGAACTTTTGGTTCCAGTCAGGAATTACCGCTCGAAAGCCTTCTCCTCCAGGTCCCGCTGCCTCTTCGCTGTGGCACTCCTTTCCCAGTCCTCCAGTAAGCTTCGGTTGATTCGGTTCACTCGCTCCAGCTCAGCACGTCTGTCTGCCAAGTGCCTGGAGACAACAGAGTAGTCTGAGTCTATTCACAGCACTGGGAAGGGCATGTCCCAACCTTGGAAGCCCCATTCATTGCACGGTAAATGAAACAGAAAAATTTTAGTTTTGTTCACTTCTATGTGAAATAAACTAAAAGGCATGAACACTGTAAAAACAGAGCGAAACTCCTAGCTCTCAAAAAATTTATGGGTCTAGTTCCTTTCATCTTCAATCCTGGTTTAAATTAGCAGGATTGAAACCTTTCTCCATTGAACGAAGTCAGCCTTTAAAGCCATTAATTTCCTTGGAAGCTAGTTACCCTGATCTGAAGAGTCATCACAAATGGATTTCCTACACTTTATGTATTTTTCCTTTTGTTCCAGCCTCTCAGCAGTCAGGAATCAGCCTGCATGTTGCTACAGGCATTTTACAAGTCAGAGTAGACAGGCATACAAATGAATGGCTAGAAAGGGGGAAAAAAACACGAAGTGACTAGGAAAAATAAAATAAAATCAAGAGAACAGCTAGCATTGTGAAGAAGGTAAAAAAAAAAAAAAAAAGGCCTGTTTGGTGAAGGTCATGTCATCAAAGAGGTGGCATCAGTATGCATCTCTCTGCAAGTACAGGGTCCCGGTATTCTCAATATTAAATGTTTCTGCTACTGGTCTCTCAACATGTAGTTGCTGCTATTGTGAATCACCTTAAACCTGGGTTAAATGGTTTTGTCTACCACTAAATACCACTAAATTTCCTTCCTTTCTAATCTTTTGAGTAGTCTACAAGTACTTGTGAAATGTTTCATGGTATATGTGGTGTAAGAAAAGTCTGTAATTGTTCTTGATTTGGACATTTCACAAAGCAATCAAACCATAGATACTATAATCCAAGATAGATGACAGCATGTTTTACCTTTGCATTTGTGAAATCTTATTATGTGTATATGTATATATGTTTTCATAAGGTCCTAGGGAAAAAAGAGATAGCCATCTTATCTGTGTATGTTACCCTGATAGATACATCTTAAATAGTAAAGACTTCTTCTCACGTTTACATATGTGAGTTGCAGGGAAAAACATAAACAATTTGCTAAGGAACTGCTTACTCCATTCAGAAGGCCACAGAGTTGGCACTCTAGAATATATGTATGATTGAAAATAAATTATTAAATTGTGTAGCACAGAACACAACTATACTTTAAATATCACCTTCCTATCTTGTCATCTCTATTCACCAGTGGAAAATACCTGTATTGCATGTTCACATAAGTAAATATTCAATAAAACACGAAACACCTCTTATCTTGGAAAGGCAAAAATATAGTTAAATGCTAAATGACCTGTATTTCAAATGGTGCAAACAATGACAGCTGCTCGTTGGATTAGGCTCACCCACACACATTCCACAGAGTATAGAAACCATTGTGGTTTTGATTGGCATGTCCCTGAGGATTAGCATTGAGCATATTTTCATATGCCTTTTGGCCATTATTCCATTCTTTCTTAAAGGATAAGTTAAGTCACTTTAATTTACATGCCTAGAAAGTAAGAAAATGAAGTGGGATGAGAGGGGAGGCAACTAGGATTCTCACAAGACCACTGGTGGAAGCAGATTGCTGCACCTTTTTAGAAAGCAAACTGTTAGAATCTGGTAATATTTTAAAAGGGCCATCTGCTTGATCCATTAATCCCAGTTTTAGGAATTTATCCACCAGAAACAAAAGAACCAATATAAGGAAATATATTTAGAATGTTTAATGCAGAATTGTTGCAATAGCAAAATATCTGGAAACCAAGTAAATGTTCAGCAGTAGTGCAAAAGTTAAATTAGGGTAATCCGTATTATGTTATTATTAAAGAAGAATAAATCTGGTATATATGTACTGACCAAAACGTAAATTAATAATACTTTATTAGGTTAAATAAAGCTTGGGTTGCCTAGTAATGTGTAAGATCTAATAGGTCTCATTTCCATTTACAAAACTGGATGGAGAAATATATATATGCATATGGTTTGAATACTTTTATAAAGAATATGGGAAAATGTAGAGCCTTAATACTGATTTCCTAGGGGAGACATTATTAACCAGTTTTTAAAAATCTCTCCACCAATCCACATTATATTGAGCAAAATTGTTATATTTTTTAAAAAACAAAAGCAGAAAAGTTTAAAGAAAAAAAAGAATAAAATGAGTTAAATACTTTAGTAGGACTGTTTGGCCACTACCTTATCCTCCATGAAAGAATGTAACCTTCTGTTTGCCCCAGGAAGGCCTAAGATCACATCTTGGGATGGACCAGAGGGCAGGGGAGTTGGAAAAGGTAAGAGAAGTGAGAGATTTTGTAATAAACAGTAAAAGATACAGAAACAGAAAACAAGGTCCTGAGTCCTGCAGAAAAGGGGGGTCTACCTCCAGAGCTCCAGCCCAGAGACAGCCAAGTCAAGACCGCAGCTGGTGTTTGTTCAGAGCCCTGTGGCTCCCAGAAAATGCTCTCACATGCATACTGCCATTTCACTCTCATAGTAAGGACAGGCGGACAGGTGTGATCAGCTCCACTTTCATATGAGGAAAAGAGGGTTCAAAGACCCCACATACAGTTTAGCCCAGGTCATACAGTTTTGAGATGGCACTTTAACCCTCCTGACTCCACGTTACGGAGAACTGGAGAAGCTAAGGGCTAAAAGCAGACAAGAAAGCTGCAATAATTTCTGCAAACAATGCAGAGGGTTCCAATCAGGCTGCGGCAGCATGCACGGTAAGGCAGAGCCACCACAGAACAAGGGATGGCTGCTTGCTAGAAAAAAAAAGCTGATGACAAGGACTATTCCATTTAGCCTTCGACCCCCTTGGTGATAGATACTAGCTTTAGGCCTAAAACCTGATAAGGAAACCCATGCCTGATCCCACACAACTAGTAAAACGGCAGAAATGCATCAATCAGAATGGACACTGAAAGTGGTCTTAGAGACCCCAGGTATTCACTCATTTGGTAAAAGATTATGGAGAAGTGAGATTGGGGGATTCCTGGGAGGGGCTGGGATAGCCAGGGCAGCACGTGCCCTTGTGGGTCTTGAGGCCACAGTTGTTTATCAAGAAGCACGGAAACATTTCAGTATTTTAGCAAACAGTACAGGATACAGGTATACATTGCCTGGGCAAATGCAAGACTACGCCACATCTGACTTGACTCTAAAAGCCAGGCTTCTAATTACTCTCACCTCTTAATACCAGCCATCCAACCCCACCCTTAACCACAATATCCTTCATCTTCAACCTCCTAGTTTACTCATATTTTCATGTCTGAGCCTCCTGGCCCAGGACATAACAGATCTTTGCACCATCCCACTGACCACTTATAAAATTTCAATAAGGGGCATTTTTTCTTTTTATAAGTATAACCACCTTCTAAAAAGAGGAGATTACTGTAAGAGAAGACTTTCTGGACTCCTTGAGCACTTTGATGATTTTTATAATTCTATCAAGGACCTAAGAGTTACTAAACACCTACAAAGAAGAAACGGGAGTCTCTGTGGCAATCTCGGGGGAGGAAGGAGGGTAGCAGACCTGGAAAATGGGGAGATGAGAAGAAGCCAAGGGGATGTTGCAAGGCTGTGAGCTGGTCAGGACCTTTAAAACCCCCCATTGGTGGGGTGACCAAATAGGAAGTTTAAGGAATGGAGTGTCTGATGTTTGAATTTAAAGGTGTTTGCAGTGATATGGCACAAAGTCCCCCTCTGCGCACCTAACCCCCTCCACCACCCCTCACGGCAATCGTCAGTACAGCCCTACATGAACAGTTCTTGGAAGGAAGGGAGCTTGGTGACGTTGAGAAAGGGCCTGAGTGTCAGGTCAGCGTCTACTGGAGCACAGCACCACACCTGCGGCTCACACTGGGTTTCCAGCGGAGAGCGGTTGGTATGGGCAACCCTATTGGGTGGTACTGTAAAGGGAAGGGAAAATGCAGAGATGTAACTGGAGGGACAAGAGGAATCAAGAGACTTTGATTGGGTTTTTTTCTTTTTAGTAACTTCTCATAGGGTGAATTGTGAGGACAAAATGAGATGAAGAACATAGTAAGCTCAGATATTTTGCACATAGTAATTTCTCGATGTGCTCGCTAGTATTACTGCTTCTCTGCTGTTGTATGAGAAAAAAAGGGGGGGTGGCGGGCATAGGGGAGGGGAAGAGGGGGAAGATCCAGGGCCTCTTACTCTTTGCGTGTCCTATGAAGCATCTGCAAATCCCACTTCTGGTCCACCAGCTGGTACAGGATGGCTCTCCTCTTGCGGCTAGCAGCTGCCTCCAGCTGGTGCTTCATGCAGTCCTGCTCTTGCTGTCGCTTTTCTACCACCAGCTCGCCCTCATCCTTGCCAAAGATGGGCTCGGAAGAGTCTGGCTCAAACATGGGCAGCTGCGGGCGTTTGTTCTTTATCTGCAACAGGGACGCACATAATGCAGACCCTAATTCTGCCGGGGAATAAACTTTCTGCACACACTGTGGCATAGTGAAATACCAATACCTCAGATGAAGGAACAAGGGCCTCAAAACCCCCCAAATGGATAGCACAAAAGGGTATTCAAAACATTACAGTATTCATACATTTTTTTTTTAGAATGCTGATGAAGCACGGCTTCACTGTTAAAATAGTAATTGTCCCCTTACCTGTACATCCAAAGCTCTCTTGTAACACTTGGTTTCTTCCATCTTGTCTCTTATATATTTGGCTCTTTGTGCAGCGAGTCTGGCCATTAAGAATAAGAGGAGGTGGGAGCACAACTGGTTACAGTCTTTAGTGATGCGCAGTAACATCATCAACATGTGTTTAAGTAATAATATGAATCAGAGCCTGGTAAATAAAACGTGATATTTCCTTCTAGGAGCTTTCATTTTAAGAAGGAAAAGAGTAATTCAAATCCACAGGTATAGGCAGGTGATCATCTTGCCCAAATACACCACCAGGACAGGCACCCTCCTTCCCCCAGGCTTTAGAGAAAGCTAGATAACAAGGCATACAGTGTCTCTTCATTCTATAAAGTGGTTCATCCAAAGATTCCTCCTAAAGAAAAGTGATCTTTCCTATTATAAATTATGATTCTGTTACATGTAACCAACAAGGAACCCTCATGATCTGTGATTTGAATAGAATGGAACATACATTTTATAGAAATGTAATTTTTTTGGTCACAGAAACTAGCTTATTGTTTGTCTCAGGAGTTTCTGTCACACTACAGTAGCCTTTTTAATCGCTCTTGTGGCCTTAGTAGCAGAAGTGTGTTTTGAACCGTAGGTATGGTTGAACTCTGTGGCCCTGACCCTATCCCAGGCCTCAGACAACCCGAGCAGGACCAATCAGGACCAATGAGATTCTCTTTCCTGAAGATTTGGAATTAAGACTTTCATTCATTCCAGTTTGAGCCGGAACGAAGGTGATGCCATTTAAGGAGCTGTGGGTGTGAAGAGAGGGAAAGCTTTTTTTATGCAGATTTTTAGTCCCTGGGTTCCCCACATATTCATGCTCTGGGGTTCCATGGTCTACCCCTGCTTACTTATATTAAAACCTCAGCTTCGCCTTCAGATCACCTGGGAACAGCTGGGAATGATGGCTGCTCAAGACAAACCCCTTCCTCCATCTGCCAGGGTCAGGGATCGCAGAACAATATTGTATGATTAAAGTGATTGTAGATGGGCAATTACTACTAGCATGATAATTATAATAATGATGACTTTTTCCATTTTTCTAATAAAATGTTATGCTATGCTGCTGGGTTCATTTGCTCAGTTGGTTACAGGTGTGCTAATGAAACTCCCAATGAGGATTCAAACCACATGGAAATAAGCTCCACATGAAAATTCTGAATCGGTTTTTCAGAGCGTGTCTAGTCTAGTTAGACTCACTCCTCTGTGAGCTGCACTTGTTCCAGGCGGTCCATCAACTCTCTGTTTTGTCTTTGCTTTATTTCCTTTTCCCGTCTGTTCTCCATTTGTTGCAAGAGACTATGGGAATACTCTTCTTGCTTGCAAGCATTAACCTCAGGACTCAGTGGCCGTTTAACAAATAGGAAGGATTTCTACAATGAAAGAGAAGCAATGCGTTTATTCTTGAACACCAAAAAGCAACAAACACTAAAGGTAGTGATTCAGAAGACTAAAACCAATCAGGATGTATTTATTAATGTGTCATATTTGCCCGGGCTCCAACACATCGACCAGCTAATGCTGGGGCCACCCACAAAATAACACAAGTGTGCTCAAGGACATCTCTGAGCGGAGCCGGCCAACGCCCCATATCTGAGAGAGAGGTGAGGAAGGACCTCATGGGGTAGCGTCCTGAGTTAGATGGGAACACAGATGGGAAGGAGGAGGAAGTCTAAATGAGCGTAAGGCACAAGCAAGGGCTGAGGGGAGGTTGAAAGAGGGAGACCCAACACCTGCTCAGGGCCTGGCCATTCTAGACACTGGTGATCGCACAGCAGCCGGGAACACAGGTCTGCAGGGCACCTGCCCTCATGGGGCCTGCATGCTGGGGCAGGAGACAGAGCCAACAAGGAGACAATACATCAGGTCAATGAGGGTGGTGGTAAGTGCTGTGAAGTCCTGGTCATGGCAAATGACTGGCTGGGAATAGGGCTACATTGGTTGGCTTTTCCGTGGAGATGACTGAACCGCCTCCACAGCAAGTAGCCGGGGACCTGTATCCCATACAGAAGGAATGCAAATGAAGAACTCTAGATGGAGACAAGATGAGCATGTTTAATGAGCAGAAAGAAGGCCTGTGGCTGAGGCATAATGAGAAAGAGGCAGAGGAGCAGGCAGGGGCCAGACCTGATAGGTCAAGGTAAGGCATTTCTATTTTATGTTAATTTGATGGGAGGCCATTCCAGGCTTTAAACAAGAAAATGATATATTTTGGTTAACAGTTTTAAAAGGTGGCTTTGGCTGTTGCCATGTAGAAAATAGCTTGTAGGGAGGCAAGAAGATAAACAGCAAGCCTAATTCAGGAGGTGTTGCAGAAGTTGGGCCTTATAATGTGGTTTGGATAAGGTGGTAACATTGATGATGAAGAAATGTGAAGAGACATCGGATACATTTTGGATGTAAAGGCAACTGTACTTGAAGATGGTTGGATGCTGGGAGCGAGGATAAGGAGTATGGGATCCCTCCTAGGAAGGGGTTCATGCAACTGTCTGCCTGGAGATGCCACTTAAAGTGAGAAGGATGAGAGAAGAACAGGTTGAAGAAGAAAATCAAAAATTGCTTTGGCCTCTTAAAGTTTAAGATGTCTGCAGATATGTCAAAGAGGAGATATGAACTGGGCAGTAATAAGTATCATCTGGAACCTTATCTGAGGGGAGAAAAAGATGACACCTAAATCTCAAAAATCCCCAGTCTCTCCCTCCCTCCCTGCCTCCCTCCCTCCCTGCCATAGCTGCCTGGAAGGTTCTTCCTTCATTTGTTTCTTTTCCCAACTGCTGTGTACCAGAAAGTCCTCCCGGATTGCTGGTCAAGGACAAGTGACTCTCTTTACTCACATGGTGCCCCATACAAAGATTTCTCACAGCATGTATTACACCACACTCTTAGTCTCTTCAAGCCTGTCTCCCCCACCAGCCTGAGACTACTTTAGAGACGGACCCTGTCTTTTCATCTTTGCATTCCTGGCCAGCAGCACAGTGGCCAGTCCATGGGAGTTCAGTAAATGTTTGATGATGAATAAAGGAAGTACATCTTATTAGATACATGTCCAGATGACCTAGACAGTGGTGTGAAAGGAGGAAGATTCAGGAAGAAACAAAGGTAGGCACTTAACAATTAGAAAAACTAAATCAATAGAGAAGCAGGTGGCTCATCTCCATCTGAAGCGGGACCTCTCAAATTTTAATGTGGATCTTATTTAGGTGAGATTCCTGTTCTGGAGATATGGGGTAGGGTCCTACATTCTGCATTAACAGCAAGCTCCCAGGTGATGCTGTTTCTCTCTAGATCTGCTCGCTATTCCTGGGGCAATACTTTGGTACACTGCCCCACCACCTGACCCGGGTGCAGGGTGAGAACTACTGTTAACAAGTGCGGTGGTGACTAATACGAACTGTTCTGGGAATATGACCATGTGGAGATAGGCACTGGACAACTCCTGCCCGAAGACAAACTTTATCCTTGTGCAACCCACTTTTTGCCTCTGCCATTTAAGAAATGGGACAGCTGGGGTCAGGGGGAAAAAAAAAAAAGAAATGGGACAGCCTGCGATAGAGGTATAAATACTCACAGATAGGGAGGAATTAGCAGTAGAAATTTTGAAAAGACTCTTACATAAAATGCAGGTTTCTCATTCTTGTGGACCCTCACAGCTTCAGCAACTCCAAGGTTATAGGCAGCATTTTTTTTATTCTGTTCTCTACTAGCCAGACTTCTCATCTTTGAAAAAAAAATCACATCTTGAGACAGAGCCTTTAAAAGTTCCATTTTATTACATTGAAATAACACAACTAAGGTAGAAACCTGCCTTTTGGAGGCAATGGTACTTTCTGATGTCTTCAGAGCTTTATAAAAGTGGGTCGGGGACCCAGTAATTCCACTACTAGCAATTTACCTGAAGAAAACAAAATCCATGATTCAAAAAGACATATACACCCCTATGTTTATCGCTGCACTGTTTGCAATAGCCAAGGTATGGAAGCAACCTAAGTGTCCATCAGTAGATGAATGGATAAAGAAGATGTGGCACCTAAACACAATGGAATATTATTCATCTATGAAAATAAAAGAAATCCTACCATTTGCAATAACATGGATGAATCTAAAGGGTATTATGCTCAGTGAAATAAGCCAAGTGGAGAAAGACAAATACCATATGATTTCACTTATTTGCTGGAGTATAAAAACAAAGCAAAACAGAAGGAAGAAAACAGCATTAGACTCATAGACACTGAGAAGTGACTAGTGGTTACCAGGGGAGAGGGGAGTGAGCTGGGGTGGGGAGGAGGCAGAGGGGAACTATTGAATCACAGTGATGTACATTTGATAATAAAAAAAAGTGGGTTGGGGAAAGTTTTTATTTCCTGTTCTTAGGCTTTTGGCAACACCTCTGTGCCTCTGTGGGGATCATAAGAAGGAATGGAAGATTTCATAAGTGGTTCTCTGATATCACAAATGCAGGACAAGGCAATAGGTCAATTACTGGAGACCACAGAAATCTGGATAGTGCCAATGAGAAGGTGCCATTCTGTCTTTGCCTGCTTGAGACAGGTGTGAGTTTGAAGGCAAAAGCCTTCACCGGAATTGTATTTTATCAGAAATTAAAAATAAAGTCATATACATCTAAGAATTCCACCTTTAAAACTCAATACTTATGGGTGGAGTGGGGGGAATCACTGACATATGCAAACATCCAGCTGCATCCCAGTATTGTTCATTCTTAGTGAAAACTTGGATACAACGTAAGTTACTGTCCACCAGCAGAAAATAAATGATGGAATATGTTACAGTACAGACATACGATGGAACATTTGAAATGCCATTTTATAATCATGTTCTACTGACCCAGATTAAACACTCTGTAATCAACACGTTGAACTACCTGGTATTTGAAGAAAGCCTCTTGGTCCTTCAGCATCTGGTACTGCTGTATGAGTTGCTCATCCTCTGCCTCTCTCTTCCGCCTTTCCTCACTGTAGTACAATGGGGAATTGCGCTGCGCTCGTTGCAAACATACATAACACATTTCCTGAAATAGAGCAGTTTCACAGCAAATTGATTTTTACCTTTTACTTTTTTGCCTTCCTATTCCCTTCACAGGCTTTCCAAAGGTGTGCCAAGAAGTATACTTTATAAAAGGACATATTGATGACAATTAGCAAAATGAGGTTTGCGGAGTGGCCCCACAAATTCAAGAGGATTTACTGAACACTCATTTGATAAGAAGTGTTTAAGTAGAAAGAGATATCCCAACCCTATTTCCATTAACTAGTAGATTTTGAGTAACAGATTTATCACAGTCCAATTGGGACTCTGAGTCGTTGAGCCAAACCCATATATTAAAAGAAGAACAATTCCCAGAACCCTCTTTGAGAAACAGAAATCAGTGATTGGGGTTTTGTTTCTTTGAAGACACTGTACCTGTCCTGCCCTGTTATGATCCTGGCAAGCAGGGGTTGGAGAAATTTTAGGCTTTATTTCATCATCACTTTTCAGACAACCTGGAGATGATAAGCTATAAAAACAATGTAACAGTAATTAATGTTTAAAACAATCTGACATCTAGAGCAATGATGATTTTGGAGGCAAGAATAAACATAAAAGAAAGAAAAATATCCCGGTGGTTTTCTTCAGAGTATCTTTATGTGTATAAGTTAAGAACCTAGGCTTTGTGTCAGATAAACCTTGGTGTGGATCCCCGTTTCTTTGCTTACAAGCTGCCTAGCATTAGACAAGCTAGGTAATCTTGCAAAGTCTCAATTCTGTGAAATGAGGATAAAATTTATTCATTCTACAAAAAATATTTTGAGTGCTATGTTCACTTTTCTAGGCACGGGAGATACAGTGAAGAATGACACACACACACACACACACACACCTCTGTCCACATGGAATTAATGTTCTGGGGGGACAGACAGCCAATAAATAAGTGAATTCTATAGTATGTTCAATGATGATGAATGCCATGCAATGCTGGAGGAATGGAGTAATAAACCATAAATAGAATGCAAGAAAGCTCTCATAAAGAAGGTGACATTTGAGTAAGTACCTGAAGGAAATGAGCAATTAATAGTAATCGGATATCTGATAGAAAAATCATTCTAAGCAAAGCAAATGAGTGCAAAGTCCTTGAAGTGGGTGCATGCCTGTGCTCAGTGTGGCTGGAGGGCAATGAGTTAGTGGGGAAAAGTAGGGGATGGGTCAGAAATCAGGCAGGATCTTGCAGGTCTTGGTAAGGACTTTTGCAATTACCCTAGCTAAGAATAGGAAGACATAGAAGGTACAATATCCAGTATTAACAAAGCTATAGAATAGATGGCAGTCCCTCATATTACTGCTACTGGAAAGATAATTTGATAGAACCTTCCTGAAGATAACTGATGATATGGATCAAAGGCATGAAAATAGGCTCATCCTTTATCTTTGAAATTTCACCTTAAAGTTTTTATCCTAGAGAATATTCCAGTGTGTTCAAAGAATTGTATATGATTATATTTTAACATTTATAACAATGTATATGATATATATTATTTATGATATTAAGAAAAAATTAAAAATCACCTAAATATCCAACAGCAGATTGGTTAAACAAAAGGTTTAGTCAGATGAGATGATATGCCATCTATTGTTCATGTTTTGGAATAGTTAAAGCCATGGGGAAATTTTTACCACTTATTGTGAAGTGTAACACAAGTTCATATGATATGATCACAGTTTTATTCAAAATGTGTGCATACATTTCAAGTATAAACATATGCATATATTGTATATGCATGAAAGTTAAGAAGATATACCATAATATTAACAGAAAGTTTCCTCTATGTAGTTATGGGTGATTTTTTGTATCCTTTTTCCCATTTTTTTCAAAATCTCTGTGATAAACATGTAATCAGCAAAAAACCCCACATATTTTGGGTCAATTGCTACAGGAAGCCTTTGCTAATAATTCCTAACAATTGATTACTCCCTCCTTTTTTGCAGCCTCTGTTCTTTTGTTCTTTTCATCACATGCATCATTTCTTTAACACGAGTCTCCCTACAAGACTATAAGTCTTATAAAAGTAGGTTTACATGTCTTTTATATTTCTTATAGCTCAGTATCTTCAGTGTCTAGAATAATGCCTGGCATATAGTGGGGCTCAATGTTTGTTGGACTGAACCAAATTCCAAAGTACTAGACATTTCATTCTCAATTATTTTTTGTTTAAGTAAGTGAGATCATCCAAAATAAGCATGCCTAAGGTTTTGAATGGCACTTTGGTAATCCACAGAGTACATAAATCATATATATGTTTGTGATACATTGTCACACATTAACAAACTGAAAGTTGTCAGCACAGTGCAAAGTATACAGTAGATGCTCAGTAAGTACTTGAGTACATTTGACTGATTTGAGATGTTAAAATGTGTCCTACTCAGAGGTAGAAGGAGAAAAGAGAAATGTTTTGATTAACAAGAAGAAGATCTGACCATCATACACTGCAGTATATTTATTCATTCAAACAGTGTTTAGAATGCCAGCCATGTTTGGCAAAACTACTTCCCACTTTAATCTAAATATGAAATTGTGTCTCATCATAATATCAAAGCACTCAAAAAACAAGAAAGTCTCCCAAATCCACAAGAAGAGTTGGATATTGCCTCCTCTTCTATTTTATTTCTACCTCTGTCATAGCTTTCTTTTATCCTACTGAATCCTAATTTACCCTTCTGTGTATGTCTGGTTTTCCCACTAGATTGTGAGCCCAAGTCCTCTCTATTACCCCCATCACCTAGCCCATAGAATGTACTCAAGAATACTGAAGGAATGAATGAACCATTATTTAAATTCTCTGCATCAAGATATGACTCAAAAATATATTTACTGAAGCTCAATGGAGAAAATGCCAACGCGTTACCTTTTAGGGTTCATATTTTTCCCACCACTCCCACTCCGTTCCAACTTGTTCAGCAAGCTGACACTTGACACTTTGGCGGGAGAGTTAGCTTGCCTATCTTGAAGTCTCTTGGGTGAGAAGACCTCTGTAGAATCAATGAGAGTGTTTCCTTTCAACTCTAAATGGGTGGTTTGTACTTCACACAGATTTTAAAAACTCATGATTTTACTAAGGAAAATTTTCATGTTAAATACACTTTCTTATCTTTATATTATTGCCCCTTGCCCTCATGTGGTTAAAAATATATTTTTTTTGCTGTATACGTACTATGTGCAAAGCATTGCCTGGGCACCTTAGAAAATACGTAGAGGTGAGTCTTTACCCTTAAAGATCTTTAGATCTTTCAATAGATATAGTTGGAGAGAAAAATAAGATACAAACAAAAAACATGAGAGCTCTCATTTGCAGAGGCCTTACTACGTGCCAACAGTGCTAAGTGCTTTACAGACACTGCATAAATAGCAACTCGGGACTATGATGCAAAACACCATAATCCCAAATGAATGGTGCACGCTTTAAGAGACTGACATGATCAGAGAAGAGAGAAGTTACTTCAGAATCCAGTGATGAGAGAAGCATTCATGGAGGAAGTGAGATGTGAAAAGGGTGCAAGAGGTAAAATAGGATTGGAATGGGCTTTAAGAAAAGGAAGGACATTCTGAATAGGAGAAGAGGCATGAATAAAAGCATGAAGCCAGGGAGAGACAGGGAATGTCAGAGGAACATGAATTGACAGTTTTGCTCAAAGAAGAAGTCTGCAGGGAACACTGACAGATGAGACTGAAGAAATGAAAGCACATGAATATTAGGCTAAAGTTTGTGTAATCCTGCAGGCCACATGTTGCAAAGCCAATATCCACAAGCTAATGTTTACCCATTGGCATGTTCTGTTTGGCCCACTCAGCATTTCTTGTTTCTATGTCAATTAGTTGTCAACATTTAACAATCAATAGTTTCACAGAAGACAGGATTTCTGCTTCTCTTGAAAAATTAGAGAATTGGATAACACTTGGCCCACATTTCTCTACAAAGCAACAATCTGCTAGAGAAACAAGTCCTCAAGAGGTAGTCTGGCAACCTGTGGGGACCCTCTGGGGCCCTTTTGAAAATACTTTGATGTCCTAGGGTTTTCTTGAGATGCTTCAAGCAAAGCAACATATCACAGCAGATTAAATGAAGACACAGATATGAGAATCCAGCTTTCTTTTATAAGCTAGGTATCAAAGATATAAAACTACCATTCTTCATTTCTCATAAAAAATTATTATTTATGCTAATATATCTATCATGTTACATCCAGCCCACTTCATGCATTTATGTTATCCACCTAGACACTGTAGGCATTTGAGTTTTGAATCAGTGGGGAGCAAGAAGAGAAATTATAGTCTAAGTGCCTGAGAGTCATAAAGTGCTGACACACAAGACTCCAGGAATAGGAGATGTTGTGATAGAGAAGAATACAGTGATTATTCACAATTCTCATCTCATTTAGTTTGGGCATAGGAGTTGCTAAGCAACATGGCTTGGCTCATAAGTGGTAAAGTGTGACAGATTATACCCAGAAACCATTGGCCTACCTCTGACGCCACCTTCCTTGTCTGACTGGTCTTTTAATTGGCTCTTCCTTTGTCTGTTCTTTCCCCCTTCTTCCAGAATGGTCTCCATAGGTGGCTTGTTGTCCATCTCCTTGAAGTCAATGCTAAGAACAAGCCAAGGTGTTGTCTACTGCCCTAGACCTGAATAGGTGACTGTAGAAACTCCCAGTTATGAGAAGCAACAAGTTAGCTCTCTGATTCTGAAATAAGCCCACTCCTCCCAAGGGGGTAAGTGATTTTTGATTTGCTGAGTACAAATCATGGACTCACTTTCTTAGAAGCTAAGTCTGTGAGCTGACCAATACCCTCCCCGTCTGTACTGAGGGCTCAGAAGGGACTCTTATACAGATAAATTGCTTTGAAGGCCTGGATTTCATCTTTTGGTTTTGGTTTCCGTCAGATGCCACAGGGATGATGCAGTGAAAGCAAGGACTCATGGCCTGGCAGGTACAATATGCCCAGAAATAGCCTTTCCTTCCCTCTTTATTCTCCCCAGTTCTCCATCCTCTTCCCCAGGCAAAAGCAAGGGACTTGCAAAGGTTCAGTTGGTGCATGTAGCTACAGATTCTTTGGTCTCAGGTACGGAGTACTGGGTTACAGTGCTTGATAAAGTGTGACCCAATCAGGGGCATGCACAGTGAGGCAGTATTCCCAGTAAAATCAGGGGCCAAACTTCATATAAATTAAACACCTGCAGTTGTTTTGAGTGTTTGAGTCCTCATGTCCATTTCCAGGCTCTCTAACATTAGCCTCCATCTCTCTTCCTTGACTCACTGTCATTATTTCCTTCCTGGGGTACTTAAGCCAAAATATGTCCAAGAGGACAGCCAAATTTGCCTCCCAAAACAGAATCAAGATAAAATTATTTTGAATCCATTGATTTATTTTTAAAGAGCAAGACAACATGGTGAATGGAAAGAACCCTAGAACAGCCAGGAGCCATGATTTTATTCTGGCTTGACCACTCAGTAGCCATTTCATCTGCAAGACGAGGGGTTTGGACTAACTTATCTGTAAGGCTTATTTTGGCCTTCACATTGGTTTTGCCTAGGTGTGTGTCATACAGTCCTTCCAGGAGGAGGTTGTTCCAAGCCAATAAGCCCAAGAGGATGTCACAGACCCAAAAAAACACGAGAAAAAAGTACTTTGGGAATCTGATCTTAGTTTCCAAACTTCTACCACCTGAAATGCATAGTAGTTAATGGCACAGCAGATATGATTAAGAACATGATTAAGAGCATACAATGATAAGTGATGGCTACCCTGGAAACAAAACCCAAGTCTCCTGACTCCTATTCCAGTGTTCTTATCATTGCACCAAGTTGTTTCACATGCTAAAAAAAAAAAAAAATTACAATTACAATGAACTTTGCACCTCTATAATATGGATAAAATTATAATGCATATCTCAGATGGTTGTAGTGCAAAAATACTGAGAAAGTACTTGACAGTACCTGGCATCTAGTCTGTCTTTCATAGATGGTAACTATTATTATTATTATTATCATTATCATTATTGGAATCATTGTCAGCAGCAGCCACCAGTAACACCCACTGCACTCTTGGGGTAAAACTCTTCCTCTGTTCTACCTTGTCTTTCTAGCCCATTCAGTGGTAAAGACCAGAGCTCAGACAGGAGGTGGGCTGGACTGCAGAAGAGAGGAAGCTAGGTCAGAGGAAGTGGTGCAAGGAGAGGAAAGCCCAGCAGATGAGAGGAATTTTATTAACATTACAGGGACGGAGGTTGGTAGGAGGTGGTACCAGAATTTCCTGGGAACTAGTAGTAGTTTTAAAATGGAATATTCTAAGTACCCATGGGGTTTTAACTTAACTACAGAAAGTGTATTCAATAAACTCTGCTGGTGCACTGGAAAAAAGAGAGAGAGAGAGAGAGAGAGAGAGAGAGAGAGAGAGAGAGAGAGAGAGAGAGAATGGACACTAAAAGGAACATGAGCTAGAAAAGGGTGCAGAACACTGCGCGAATAGGTCAGTAGGTCAGCAAGGATGCCGAGCCTGGAGGACCCCATGGAGCAAAGCACTGACCTTGGAAACGCAAGCACGCTGTTGGGCCGCCTCCCCAGGGTCTCCGTGCTGGACAGCACCGAGTCCACAGTGCCCGGCCTCTGGAGAACAGGGCAGAGAAGGGTTATGCCTGGGCTGTGGGCCAGAACACACAACTCAAAGTCACAGGCCGTCTCAGAGGCAAGCCTACCATGACACTCTGTATTGTTATTTTTGTTGGGTGCCTAATGCCTAGAGCTTAAAATTCAATGAGGAGTGATCTCGATTATCGAAGTAGTCACCTGGGAGAGTCATATACCGATCCACTGATGCTGCCTTTTCTCAGTTTCCTCTTTGGAAATTACCTTCAGAATTGACAGCTTCTCTTAGACCTCTTTAAGAAGAGAACCAACTTACTGAAACTATCAGGAAAATGAGCAGACTGGCCAATCCCACTCGACCCAAATAACTCTACCATTGGGTAGTTAAGAGAAGGGCTTTGGAGTCAGAGGGACATGTGTTCAAATTCCCACACTGCTGACAGTAGCCTTAGTCACTAGGTACGTGGGGATCATAACAGGATCTAATTCATAGGATTTTTCTAAGATACTGTGTGTAAGTGGCTAGCACATAATAAATACTCAAAAAATTATTGTAATTATCATTATATTATATGACTACATTATACTGATATAAAATAATACATAAAATTATTATTTTTGGATTAATGATAGGCTTACAAAAGGCTGTGAAGGGAATTCTCAAGAAGAGGTTTTAAATGTTCCCAACAAAAGCAGCATTACTGAAATAAGCACACAGCTTCCCAAGAAAACTACTCTGCAGGACAACACTCAGGTTTAAGTTATGGGACGTTTAGGGGGGCAAACAATCACTCTCACCCCTTTACAGCAGTTTCCCAAAACGTTTTATGGACCTTAATAAGTACTGGATTAAGTAAAGTGTCATGACTAAATACATTCAGGCAGCTGAAGTGGCTTCTTTCCAGCCAGACTTCTCTGATCCATCACCACGCCAACATGCTTTGCGCCTCTTTCCACGAGGGTGATGTGTAGTAGTTCTCCATCTGCTTTGGCCTCCAAAGCATTTTTTCATAGAATATTTCTCAAAACTAGTTCTTTCTGAAAATGCTCCTTAAACGTTATGTCTTAAGAGTGCAGCAGGCCAACAAACACGTTAGCCTCTTTTAAATGCATATTAAAACTACAAAGTTTTAATAAGTAGAATCCCTGTAGAATCCCTCAAGATTAGCGATGGGCCTGTGCTTTGACCTTGCTTCTGGATTTGCAAATTTTACCTTGTGTTTTCATGGACAAGAGAGGGCGATACTTGTGTGTGTTCTCATTTTCCACAAAAGGGTTGCTGTCTCTTTTTAAAATCCTATGGGAAGCCAGATTGTGGAAAAAAAATACCAAGAGCTTCATATGCACAACTCCATCTCCTAAATCTCCATCCCAGAGCTTCATGAAGGGAGAAATTAGAGTGTGGAATTGGACCATGTTTATAGCCTTTCATTTTATAGCCTGTTCACTGAAAAGCCAGGCTTTTGCTCTATGAGACACAGAGTTATATAACATTTTGGGGTAACCCAGTGAACTCATGCCAGCTTTGTTGGATCCCAGAGTGACACCTAAGGCACATTAAATACTCAGTTAATTCTGTTGATGGACTATTTCATTGCCTCCTTAAACTCTCCTATACCCAACTCAGCATGAAGGTCAAACCAGCTCTTTAATGACTAACGATACTGGGGTTAATTACGAAGTTTCTTATACAACATGGCAAGTTAAAAGTTAAAGATACATTTCCATGACTTGAATTGATTTTATTGTAGACTTTCATTAAAATAAAATAGTACAACCCGCAAAAAAGAGTGATTAGGAAGTCTGGGCTTGAATTCCATTTCTGCCACTTATCAGCATCCTGACTTCAGGCTTCCCATAACCTTTCTGAGCCCCCATTTTTCTCAATTGTAAAGTCAGGATGCTACTAATGCTGGTTTTGTGTTTTGAGACTCAAATGAAATAATATATGTGGAAGAACTGTTTAAACTATGAGGGACTATAAAATGTTTAGAATTATGAGTTTCTAATTACTATTTGTTTTTCAGTTGGCATTCACTCAAAACTTAAAGTTCCTTTGCCTTTCTATCCTTTGTCAAAGAGTTAATCATCTATAAACAAGAACTTCTTCACACTTGGGGTGCCACTTAAAATATGTCAACCTGGGTTTTTCTTAACTATGACACAGATGACTCAGAGCTACAATCAGGAGAGGAGTTAGGAGAAGGAAAACAATAATTTACATTTGCTAGGGCTTTCGCCAAAGCCCCACTTCCATCCATTGAACAAAGGAAGTCCTTATAAAATCTCATCTTCACTTTGCCGTCTCTTATTATGAGGACTCCAATTCCTTTGAATGTAAACTCCACATTTTTTTTGATGGAAATAGATCGTGATAAAAAAAGCAATGTCTCCTTCACACATCCTTCCACTGTGTCCCTGTTAAATGGACCCTCCAGGGATATCATGACAAAATTAAGTGAAACAATTGGGATATCACCTAGAGGAGAAAAAGACAGTTGGGGTGGGGGAAAAGAAGTAGAAATTACAAAAGGACATATCATATACACTTACAAGTATCTGATTCTTTAGTACTCAAAATTAGAATTGTCCATGTGAAGCCCTTGTACCCTATTCATAGATATTAATCAGTACAATTTTCTCTTAAAGTATAATGGCTTTTTTCTCAAAATAAAAACAAGTGGCTTTCTAAGTAAGATTCCAGAGAAGTTTTTTTAATTTTCTTTTGGAGGCATAGTAAGAATTAATGGCATCTCTTCCTAAAAGGGTTTTCTGAAGTTCTCAGTACCCTATTCTGTCAGGACATGCTGTAGTAATATTTATTTCCTCCAGTAAGCATACCATTTTAATTGATTATAAATATATACAAAGGTAAAGTGTTTTGAAAAAAGAGTCATCCTCACTAGAAGTTACCTTTCAAATGAAATTGGATCTTGTCAGAGGGATCAGAACTTGACTGTTTATCTTCTCTGAGCCCATAAATGGCATTGCAAAGGAGTATGGTTCTATCTAGCATGAAAGTAAGCAAAGGTTCTATTCTACCTGAACAGACGTAGGAGGCATGCATGGTAGAGAAGTCAGAAAAGGGGGTAAATAGCAAAGATGATCAAGCTGCAAAATCCAAAGAGAGACAGTAAACAGGGTCCACTAATACAGGAACAGAATAAAGAGACGAACACTCTAAACATTCAGCAAGCATTGACTTATAGCCTTTCAAATGCCCAACACCTCTGGGTGATAAGGATTAGTAGCATATAGGACACAAGCTTCCCTATATCAGTTCACCATCTCCTGCACAATTTAACATGATTCTGTACCACTTACCTCCGTTTCATTTTTTAAATAAATTTCTTAAAACAGAACACTATATTGCCTGCCTCTAGATTCTCCCATCCCATTAGCCCAAAGTCTCTGTGCAATCTGTCTTTCAGCTCCTTTATTTCAGCAAGGATGCCTTCACCAAACGATGCTAATGGATATGTTGCCAATCTTCTTTTCATGACCTCCCTGTAACTCCTGTTGGCCATGCCTGATGCCCTCTCTCTCGTGTCCATGCACCACTCTCGGTTCTCCAGTTTCCTCTTCCTTGGTCTCCTTTGCCAGATTCCTCCCTTTTCTATGTCTTATAAGATGGTGTGTGTTTGTTCTTTTGATAGAATTTTGTCCTTGTCTGTTTCTTATTCTTACTGTGTATCCTCTCCTGGGTAAATTTATTCAGATCTTAAACTCTAGTCTCCACCCACTTCCTGTGCTCTGAAATCACTTCTACCTAAATATCCCCACAGCAATCTCAAACTCAGCATGTTCAAAAGCAAACTCATTATTTTATCTGCCACCACAACCAGCCTTTCCCCTTCATTCCCTATGGCCGTTAGTGGCATTGACATGCATCTCTCCCCCAAGTCATCCCCAATAACCTTCCTTCCTATCCACCCCTCTCAACTGGCAACCAAGCCCCTGAGCTCAGCATCTGGAATGTCTCATGAATACATTCCTTCATCTTCCTCCTGAGTGCCACTGCCTTCATTCAGCTTTTTACCATAGTGCTTAACTGAAAGAGCTATCTTCTAAAAACTGGACCAATACAGAAAATTCCCTGCTCAGAAACTTCCAATGGCCCCCAGTGCCTATAGGATGAATTCCAAAGCCCTCATCAACAGTATAAGCCCCTCACAATTTGATACCTACTAGCCATTTCTGTCCTACTTCCCTCCACTTGTCTCCCCAGTCATATGTCCTGGCCACACAGAAGTACCCGATCTTCCATTAAGAGGCCTCACTCTTTCCCATATTCTGGAATTGTTCATACTGTCCCTGAAATGCCTTCCACTGATTCTCTGCTGGCAAAGTCGTGTCTTCCTTTAAGAGCTCCTGGCACATCATCTTCCTAAATTTCCACAAGCAGAGTTAGGCATGCCCCCCTCTGGACTCCCCAAGCATTCGATCCAGTTCTGAGCATTGCTGCTTTCACAGCGTTCAATCACGTTGTGTCATTATATATTTACTCCCATGCTAGATTCTGAACTCTTCAAGGTAAGGACCATATTTTAATATCTTTAAGAATCACTGTATAATGTCTGATTAGTTAACTAGTTAATTAATGGTGAAGAATCATAATCCCAAAGCTAAACAGCAGAACTGTTCTCATGAATGAATTCAGTCATACATGTTTAATTCTGAAATTTCCTCAACTTTGTAAAAAATTAATTATATCCCTAAATTACTTTCTTGAACATTACAAGATCTAAGGTGGGAAATAAGCTCTAGTTCTAAGGCACATTCTTTGTTTTTGCAAAAAATGTAGTTTTTGTTTTTGCAAAGAAAAAGTTGACTTTAGCTTTACTTCATTAGGTAGGTTTTTGATGAATTAGGATGTCATATTTCTTATGCCATAAAACTCTAGGTAGAAATGGCTGAAGTGTCCAGCAAACCCACTACACAGAATATATGCATTGTGAATTCTAAGTATAGTTTGTTGGTATGTGTTTTTCGAATATATCATTTTTTGGTGGATAGTTACTCTGAAAATTAACTTTTAGGGAAATTGACTTGAAGTCAAGTCTCAGCCTTTTCACCTGCTGGCACTGGAAATAGATTGCCTCTCTTCATCCATGAGAAGGGAATGAATGATAAGGAAGGTCAAAAGGAACAAAGCCAGAAATCAAGAAGGAAACCCCTATGGGCCTCTGAGGAACCAGGGTGAGTGTCACCCAGTCCACACACTGAAGCTGGGATGTTCGTGTCCTGAGGCAGACGCCGTGGCTTCTCAAACAGGTGGAATAAAACCTGACACACAGTTGACCCTCAGCAAATATTTGCCAAAGGAAGGGAGGGAGGGAGGATGGGAGGGAAAGAGCAGAGTGGGGAGGGAGGGAAGGAGGGGAAGGAGTGAGGCAGAGAAGAAGGTTCTAGGGTATGAGAGATATGCAAGGTATCATTTAGTCTCTATGGAATTATTAACCTTCTAACTTTGATATTTTAATAATTTAGATTTATATTATATATAATTTTAATATATTATTTTAATAATTTAGATTCTGTAACACAGTGATCTTTTCCACAGCTGATGCTGACTGTAATTCTAACCAGAGACCCTAATTAACTTTCTTTTCTTTATAACCCCTTCTAATAATTTCTGAGGATCTGAAATATTGATAAAGTCTGTACAACTCTGTGAAGTGGCTTTTATATAAGTTTGTCTTGACTTGAAGTCACATCAGATCCTCACATGCCTGCCTCTTAAGTTAGCAAAGTTGAAAACGTCCTGCACAAAGACTATACATTATTTCCTACCTTGGCACCTCCCTCTACCAAAGGCACCACACAAAAAGTGAACCCCTCAAATCAGAAACTAATAACGCAGCAACTGGCTAAGCTTTGCCCTTTCATTTTCAGTCCCAAGCCAGTCACCTTCTGGGAAAGTCTTAATAGTAAAGAGATTTACCAGGAGTATATACTTTGCTCTGTCTGAGTCCGTGGAGCTGAACCAGCTTCTCCACCATGACAAACATGGGCCTCTGCGTTAGAATAAACTTGTTGTTCCCCACCTCAAGTTTTTGTCTCATGAAAGTGAAAGTTCCAAGTCCTGGAATCTGCACCCCCTGAAAGGAAAAAGAAGAGCAGCAAACAGAATTTACTGAACGGGTAAAGAAAAAGAATCTTTGGTACTGTTATCCAAAAAAAACATTAGGCTGAGGCCTTAAAAATGCAAGAATCTCTATGACCCCTTAGAGCTACAGCATTTTGACTCTAAGTTTTCAAATAAGTTTAGCATAAAATGTAATATATTGATCCATGATGCTTTTCCAACATCAGATTCCTCAACGCCGTATCATTCAAAGGTTGTGAGGATTATGAAAATCTGTATGGATGCCATAGCTATGTTTACTCTATCTGTAAGACAAGTCCTGTCCTAAATTACGTGACATTTTAAAATTTTAATTATTTGCCATTAGAGAGAGGAAATTTAAGAGGTTGTGAGAACCTCTGCTTCCTCGTTCCTTCTTTTCAGTTTTCTGTCTCTCACTGAAAATCAGACAAGCCAGCATCCAGAAGGCATATGCCGCAGTGCGGTAATCCTGGCTGACAGGGAGAAAGCAACCGCTTTTGGCTGTCTCCCTGCAAAAATCACACATCAAGAGTTACAAAATCAAAAGCCTACGGGGGCCAAGAAAAATGGAAGGGAGTGCAGGTCGCCAGCCAGAGAATGTGGTGGCTAGAGAATACACGCCCCATCAGAAGGGGAGAGCCCAGGGTCAGCCAAGTGTCGCAGCGCAGGACTGAAAAACCGGTATTGTTAGATCTGCTGATTTTTCAAGAAAAGGGAGGGACAAAATCCAAAACTTTATATAAGCTTTCCTGATTTTAAGTGGTAATGACTAATTCAAGTGATCAGGCCAAACAAAATAAGTTTGAAGGATGAATTTAGCCCATGTGCTATCATATTGGAACTTCAGAGTAGGGCATAAAGTTCCACAAGCTCCCGGTTCCCTCCAAAGTGTCCCCAAATCTCTGTGCAGTTCAATGGCCTCCAAACTTAAGACCTGACATGAAAAAACAGTCCAGCTCTCTGGACAGTTTCTCATTTCAGGCAAGTTGAGTTTAGCCCCTGACTGTCTTCCTATATTTCAGTCAAATTCTATTCCCTGAAAGGAGGCCAGTCAGGAAGCATTATGTTCTTCTACAGCTGTGCCAGGGCCTGCGTGATCACAGAGGAACACTACCCATCTAGCTGCTCTGCACACACCCAAGCTGAAAAATGATATGCTTCTATCACTAGAACAGAATTTACCAGTTACCATTACCAAAGGAGAAAAGCCACGTTTGCTAAATCCACTATCTACAAGTCCTACCTGTGAACACCATAAAATCACCAAAAGCGATTGAAAGTTAAAGTAGGTGGCTCTAAAGTTGGCTATGCTGCTCCCAGCAAAATTATATGAGACCATGGAAGAAAAATCTCTCAGACTCCAACATTAAGGTTCCAAATCCTACCTTGTGTAGGGATAGTTGTCGTTCCACAAACTCTGACACATTCCCCCAGATAGCAGAGACTTCTGAAATTCAAGGGAAACCAAAAATAATTTAATTTATATAAGCACCCATGCCGTAGTAGCTTACTGCTAATAAATAAAAATGTAAATATGAAAGGCAGAATCCTGAAATACGTTCCACTGCTTCTCTGCTGGCGAAGTCCTGTCATCCTTTAAGAGCTCCTGGTATGTCATCTTCCTATGTACATCTTCCTAAGTACACTCTAGGTATAACTAATATTTAGAAATACATGACTTAAGTAACAGTAATTCCTAATCAATTTAGAATTAATAGAGAACAGTTTTTCCCCAAAGTTAATTTTCCTGGTAACTAAAGCTTACTCCTTTAAGCACCAAAAATGTGATTAAAAGAATTGTAATAACAAAGTTTTGAAAAAAAATCTTTCCAGGAAAAAAGGAACTCTCTCACACTTTTCCCTTGATTCTATAAATAGAGCTAACCAAGTATAATCTAGCCTTTTCTTAATGACCCATTCAAGAAGCATTTTTCAAGTGTTTGTGCTGTCTGATAAATGTGAACATGCATTCTTACACCAGTCTATAACATGAGAGTAAGGCCAAGGGCCCGAAGGCATGAAAGACTGTTGTCTGTACATTAACCGTCTCTATACTTCCATTTTTGCTCAATCCCTGTTTTGGGGGGGCAAGAAGTACTTTTTACAGGGACAGTGTATATGTGATCGTGTGTGCGCATGTGTGTATAATCCTTCTCCACCACCTTGCCCAGACGATAAACTCCATGGCAGCAGTGTTCATTTCTATTGTACCAATTTAGACCAAGCCACCGTTCACCTTCACTTAAGTTACTGTGATTGGAATTCTTAACCCTCCAATTCATTCTCCACATTGCAACCAGAGCCATCTTTTCAAAACACAAATTTGATCATGTCATTTAACTCCATTTTTGGTTCCACTTAATCCGATTAATTAATGGCTTCCCATCTAGCTTAAAATAAAGGCCAATATCTTTAACATGACTTACAAGGCCCTGCACAACCTGACCACCCCCCTTTCTCTCCAGCCTCCCCCAGCTAGAGATCAGCCACGTTGACCTCCCAAGCCTTCAGTCATACCCTGGCTCCCTCCCACAAAGAGCTCTGGCTCTTACTATTCCCCGCCGCCAAGTTCCTCCCCTCAACTCCTACTCCACTGATCCATTTTGCCCACTTAATTCTAACTCATTCTTCACATTTTGGCTCAAATCTCCCCTTTTTAAACCAATCTCTACCCACATCTATATCCTCACCCTCTTTAAAAGTTCTCATTGTGCCATGAACCTCCTCATTGGTATCTCTTACTAATTGTAACTCAAAGCTTATTTTTGTGATTATTTGGTTGATGCATAGCTTCCCCACTAGGTTATAAATTCCAAGGTGTTCGCTCACCATCAGTTCTCCAGTGCCCAGCACATGCGTGTGTGGTAGGTTCCCAAGATTACTTGAATGAATATATTATATATAAATTCATAAATATGGCAAATATTTAAACTTCATAAAACCACTATCTTTAATGCTTCTTTTAGGATTATTTTAATAGGAAGAAATAGGAATGAGGAGACAGAAGAGGCATCTACTATATTTTTTCTCCTCAGATCATTTGGGTAAAGCCTAGGCAACATCCCTACATTCAATGACTGGGTAATAGTAACAGCTTCCATTTCTGGAGCACCTTTCTTCCCAAGTGCTCTCTTACTGCTTGCACTTTGGGGTGACTCTTCTAAGAAACTGCTTTAAACCAAGCCTAGGAAGTTTTCTATGAGTAGCTGTCAGGCCTTCTTGCAAACATCCCGTTCTTTTTACGATCATTTCACTTTCTTAACATAACAAGATACCGAGGGCAACAAAAGTAGCCTGTCTTTGCATGAACTCTGAGAAGGGGTGGTTTGTTTTTAGCTAACATTTATTGAGCACTTTCTTTGTGCTAGTCCAGAGCTAAAACTGTATATACATTATCACATGCAATCAACACCCTTTCCCTCCTGAAGGCAGTCAGTGAAGAAACTGCCTCTGGCACCCAGCACGAGCCTGCTGTGGTTACCAGTACGCTGCGGTGACCAGCTGGTGCGCCAGGGCAACAGGCCTCTCCAGGACACGGGGAAGGGGGTCCTGGGCCTCCACCGCAAGCAGGTGAAGCTTCGGCCCCCAGAGTCCCCGCCGCATGTTGCTTACCCTCCTGGCTCAGCGAGGGCAGCGTGGGCAGCACCTGCCTGCTCAGGTCCACCAGGGGAGGGACGATGGTGTCCAACATCTCCGGTCCCTGGTCGGCTCAGAGCGGCGTCCTCAATGGGTCTCTTTTCTTCCTTCTTTAGATGGAGTTTCTACAAAAGTGATTTCCCCCACCCTCCAGCCCCCTTTCCCCAGAGCTTTAAATGTACCTTAAATATAAAAAATATAGCGCGAGGCCGCGGCGGGCGGGGCGGGGCGCGTTGCCAGGACGCGACAAAGGCTCTCTCCGTTGCTAGGGCGCCAAAGCTCGGCCTCAGCCCCGCCGGCGAAGACGGGTTGACCCGGAGTCGCCCGGGAGCTTCGGGAGCTTCAGACCGCGAGCCTGGGTAGCCTGAAGTTTCCTAACGTTGTTTTTTCCTTCCTTCTTACCCTGCGTTGCGAGGAGACTTGGGCGCCTTTGCAATCACCTCGGACAAATCTGGGAGTATCTTTGCCAGGAGGGATGGGCATTTGAGACTCCGGATCTCTCTGAGGGTTTGAGTTTCAGCTGGTATTTGTTTCTCCGGGTAGGTTTTCCCACGCTCCGCTCCTAGGGAATAGAGGATTGGAGGATTGGAGACGGCGTTTACTTTTTTTTTTTTTTAATAACAGTCATTTTTTTCCCTTCCCTGTGCCCTTCATGAATCTCATCCTGCAGAATTGTTTCATCCCCTGCCCTCTGCTGATACTGAACTATCACAAAGTGAACACATACGTGAAAACCCAACCCAGATCAAGAAGTAGAACTCTATCAGGACCACAGAGCCACCTCAATTCCCTCCTTAGGCATTATTCCAACAAATACTATAAATTGATTTTGCCTGTGTTTGAACTGTTAAAATCACATATAACATATTATTCTGTCTGTGGCTCCATCACTCCACATTATGTTTGTGAGACTCCATGGTTTCTGTAGTAGCAGCTTGTTCATTTTCACTATTGCATATTATTCCTTTGTATGAATATGGCACAATTTATTCATTCCACTACTGAGGGACATTTGAGATGTTTCTGATGCCGGGATTCTTGTTTGCGGAGTCAAAGAATGAACTTAGCAAATAGTCAAGGTAGAAGAGCCAGGGAAAGGCTTTTATTTAGAAATACAGTGAGAGAATAGAGCTCCCCCGCTCACACCAGGAGGGGACAAGAGAGTCCATAGCGGTGCGTTGTCTAGGGGATTTACAGGCAGTTGAAAGACAAAGAGCTAGGGATGCACATCCACCAGATGGTCTCTAAATGTCTATCTTTAAAGAGACACTAAGTTTCTTATCAGTTTTCCAGACTATTTGGTAGAGTTAACATAAGACATTTACTGCTTTGATCCTTTCTCAGAGTAGCAGTTTCTTGGTTTGGGAGGGTATGTCAAGGCTGCTTGTTTTGCTTTCAAGGTGAGCTGAGTTATTGATTTGATTAGGGCTAGAAGAGGAAAAGCAGCATCTGGGTAAAGTTAAAGATAAACTGGGCTTTTTAGCAGCTGAAGTAAATTTTACAATAGCCTCATTTAATTGACACAAACAAGACATGGGCTATACTGAGATACTTTTTTATCTGGGGGATGTTCAAACATTCCAGGCTAGGTTATTCCTGGCCTTTTAGTCTTAACTATTCTTCACTGAAGAATTCTTATATTCCTAGTTTGATATTTTATTTTAGAAAATTAATGTGACTCTGACTTTCCTTAATTGTTTAATATGGAGTTTTGGTAGGGGTCTTTTTCCAGAGGCCCTCACCCTACTCTGACTACATCCACGGTCCCTGTCTCATTTCCATTTGGGGCTATTAGGAATAATGTTGCTGCAAACATTCTTGAACAAAAGTTCTGGTGCACATACACACTCACTCACTTTTGTTGTGATTATAACTAAGAGTAAATTGCTGGGTCATGTTAAATGCAGGTTCTAACAAATAATGCCAAGCAGATTTCCAAAGTGGTCACTGCAATGGTGGTGAGAGAGGAACTTCTGCACAGAAACCAGGGATGCTCCATAGCCTGCAATGTGCAGGACCATCCTGCACAGTGAAGACTGTTGCACATTCTGCACCAGTCTTTAATCTCATCAGACTTCCACGTAAGAAAAAAAAAGCTGCTATTGAGCTTAAGGAAAAATCCCCTTGATTTGTAAATACAAAGAAGATTTTGCCCAATTTCAATATAACTTAATTTACTAGGAATTCAAAACCCAAGCAAATTGGGGGAAGATTATGCTTTCACTCAAGAAGTAGAATTCTTCACCATTTAGGAAAATTGTATCATCACTCCCAATGAGGCTGGTAGTAGGTGAGCAGCCAGCACCCTGACTAGGCTGCATTTGTAGCTGTTGTGTTCATACTGATTCTTCCCACTGGTATAAGTATGTGGTGACTTCACATGCCCTCCTGCAGTCATGCCTGGATACACGTGTTAAAATATGTATTATTTTACTAGATATTACTTACCTTTATTATATTTAAACGGTATGGGTAGATAAACTGTATTATCCATAAATCTCACTTTAGGATAATAAGGCATCACAAAATATTTATTATAAAAAAAGAATCATGGTGTCTGATAGGACTGATATTATATTCTAATAGAAAATGGCAAGCTCCTATAACTCAGCCTCTTTCTCTCTCATCTACTAAGGAGCTCAGGAATAAGTTTTTGGTCTGTCTTAGGCTAGTTTCTTAGAAAAATAATTTTCTCCTCTTCTCCCTTCTACCACCTGCCTTATGTTCCTTAGTCTATGGATGGTGTTTAGTCTTGGAGCCCTTGTCCTTACAGAGTAGCTGCCTCAAACCATTCAGGAGACAGGCAGAGAATATTGTTGATGGGTGTGGGTAAAACTGTAATATTTCCAGAATTTCTCGCCTGGGTTTAGTGCAGCTGCATATCAATAGGTAATTATAAGGGCATGTGTTTATCTAGATGGGAGAGGTTGGGTGAAGTTCTCTTTCTCTTCTGCTGTGGCCAGGTCAGGAGAGAGATGGGGATGACTGCTTGTAAGAAATAGAAGGGTTTCTTAACTTTATTTCTCCCTTTGACTAATTTCGGTTTTTGGAAGTATTTTGCCCTGGGATTTTCCCCGGGGAGTTACAATGGGTTAGCAGCAAGCAATGGGCCAACTCTTTTGTGGCAGATTCTTAACAATTGTGGAGCCAACTAATTTCTAGTGGCCATATCAGCATTGTTGTTCTATCTTAACAATGGAGCTGTAAAAATATATTCGTTTCTTAGAATAATACATAAGATTTTGAGTTAAATATGGTGATGACACTTCTAGCCTCTAGAAGAGCTGTCTTCAGTTTTAGAAGATGGCTATCAATGCCTGCTAATCATTAGTGAATTGTAGATAGCCAAAGGAAGATCTACAAATAATAAAAACAAAGACCTTGAAAGAAAGGTCTTCTTTTTCTTTTGTGAAAGAGCTCTTGACAAAAGACGAGATGTGACCAGAGTTTACTGGCAACTCCCAAATAGGCTGAAAATACATATTCTTCACTTAATAACATAGCTCCAGCAAACCGTGTGATTCTACTGCTAAGAATCTGCTCTTTGGACATACCTGCACAATACATACAAAGATATATATATGCAACACCGCTTGTGCGATGTAATGATTTGTAATTTGGTCTTCATCCACAGTACCTGAAAACACTGTAGAGCCATAAAGGTGAAATGGATGTCTTGTTATTAATGAGGATGACTTTGGGACCCACCCAAGGGCCGGGATTTATTACCAGGAGAACCAAAGATGTGAACCAACCATGTGATTAAAGGGTTGGAACTTTCAGTCCCGCTCCCTGACCTCTGGAGAAGGGAGAGGGGCTAGAGGTTGAATCAGCCAGTGGCCAATGACTTAATCAATCATGATTATGTAATGAAGCCTCCATAAAAACCCAAGAGGCAGGTGTTTGGGCCCTTTCTTTTCAAAGAGCTTCCAAGCCTGGGGAACCAAAACACGTCTAAGCTGGACCCCAAGTTCCACAAAGACAGAAGCCCCTTCACTCAAGACCTCACCCTATGTATCTCTTCATCTGGCTATTGATTCCTATGCTTTATCATATACTTTAGTTAACTGGTAACGTGTTTCCCTGAGTTCTGGGAGCCCCTCCACCAAGTTATTTGGACCAAAGGAGGAGGTCACTGAACCTCCCATCTGCAGCCATTCAGTCAGAAACCCAGGTAATGGTCTGTGTTTGTGATCGCCTCTGAAGTGGGGGTGGGGAGCAGTCTCATAGGGCTGAACCCTTAACCTGTAGAATCTAATGCTATCTCTGGATAGCATCAGAATTGAGTTGAATTCTTGGACCCCCTGCTGGTGTCTGAGAATTGCTGGGTGTTGTGGAGTTGGGGGAACACCCCATCCCTACACTGGAGTTAGGTCTGGGAACCCTAAAACAGTCTGTAATGCTAAATCTTAGGATTAATCTAAGATAACCATCACAGGGAACTAGTTAAGTTGTTAAATGTACTTTAGAATACATTTTTAAGAGTTTGCTTAAAAGAAAGCTGTACATTTATGTGCTGATATTTAAAAAGTTTCAAGATACATTAAGTGAAAACCTGTTGCAGAATATTTATAATATGATCTATTTGTTTCAAATATACATACACATGTAGATATACATGCCTATCCATATATATATGTTTGTAAATACAACATTTGAGGAAAGATACATAAAAAATATTAGCAGTGGTTATTTTTGGATAGTGTGAAATTGTGGGTGGAGGGGGAGGAGTTCAGAGAGCTTTTACGTTCACTTTTCTCCTTTATTTTCTGCTTACCAAAAGTAGTCATTAATACTTCAAAGATAATTTAAGAAAGAAAGAGAGACAGACAGCTAGGTATAGGCAGAGTACAAGAATTTATATCAACACTGAAGGAAACAAAGTGGGCCAAAGTTTTCCAAAGTACTTCAATGTACACATACTTTTCTGCAGTTTACAACTTGCCTTGCAAAACCCACATTAATGGGCAGTCTCTTTTACCTGGGCCCCAAAGCATACACAATAGTCAGTGGCTCATGCTAAGGGCAACTTGGAAACCTATTAAAAAAGAAAGATTTACAATACTCTTGTTTTGATACTGCATAATACCAGAATAAAAATTTACAATAAATATTTTAACCCACATCTATGAAATATCATAGATGTTAGTTGCTAAGAGAAATACAGCA